AATATGTTAAATGTACAGCTCCGCTTCATTATATCTATAAGTACTCTAATGTACTTAAATTTACTGTACTTGAGTACAATCCTACATGGTACAGCTACTGAGTAAAATTTACTTAAGTAAAAAGTATCTAAGTAAAGTACAAAGTACATTTTTTAATTATCTAGTATTTTACTTATACTTGCTGTACTTGTACTCGTCCAATGACTGATTACTGATACTAATCTTTAGAAGCACTTTGTTCTTAGCTGTTTTATTCCCAAAGTGACACTTTTTTCTTCATATGAGTTTACAAAAAAATTGTGTTTGTATTCAATTGTACGCCAAGCGAGTGCTTATATTGAATATATTTGGTCTAAGTCTCAAATAGTCGACGAATGTGAGATTCGGCTCTTGTCGCTTTTCATCAGAAGCAGTGTACGCTGCAACAACGCCTGCATGAGCTTTGTGTCGATACATCATATAAGTATTGTGATTGCCAACATGTAAGAGAACTCTAACAGTGTTTTTATCGTCTGTTGCAGCAACGATTCGTCCGGTACCTTTCTTGCCGAATCCCAGGCGAACCAACTTCATCGAAAGAGCGTCGAATAGTTCCCAACCATCGCGATGATTATGATAGATTTCGAGAGCTTTTTTTGCTTCTTGATGACATTCAATTATCTTCCAGTTTTTTTTGTTACAAAATGTTGGAAAATCTGTGGAGTCTAATGAACTAATATTTGGTATTGCACTTGTATTCGAATTGCATCGTAAAACGTGACTTAGATCATTGTCGTAATGAAAGAAACGCCTTAAATCAACCAAAGCTAGATTGAATTTTTGTAATGCATTCACTCCGGCCATATCATCATCTATAGTCCATTCGTTTCTTGTGTGTTCAGAAAAATTTAGCTTGGATGTTGCTTCCTTATTTTTATCAGTATCATTTTCGGCACTGCGTAAGAGTGTCACGATCAATAATTTATTAATGCGTTTGTCTGGCCAGTCTATTTCATCCTGCTGAGATATTATTTCAACAACATCACGTATATCTAAGTCGAATACATGTAGCATAATTAGACGGGCAAAGCTATCATATCGAGAGTCGTCGTTGTCTCTGTTGATCTGAAATCCTAATGCACATTTGATAATATATAACTTGTTTGTAATTGAATTTTCTTTGATTTCTAAAAGAGAAAATGAGAATGATTACACTTTTGCATCTACTATTCCAAAAATTTTGTTTCAACGACACATTAGCAGAAAGGCAGAAAATGTGTATTCAGTGCCTTAAGCAACAGTTTCCTCGTAGTGGTGATCGTTGGTAGCAACGCCTTATCTATATGTTTGCATTTTTGACTAAGGTTTTTATTAAAGATGAAAGCTTCTAATTTAATTGAGGCGGTTGTATTTACATTCATACAGAATTTCGATCGTATTTTGAGTTCTTTAATGTACTCTAATTGTAACGAAAGACATCAAAAGAATTATGAAAAATGCCTATATGATAGAGATATCGATCACTATCCCACTGTTTAAAAGCTGTCAAACGTATTGAGAAAACATGTGCGCCTATTACAATTAGAGTAGTGATTATGAACATGTAATATCACTCTTGATCAAAGCTTCTCAAAAGGTTCTCTACGGAAGAACAACGGTAGTTTGACTTATTCATTACTATTTTGAAAGCGATGAACAAACGTGAACGTCTTTGGCTTGTTCTTAGAAGTTTTATTCGTATTTCAATGTGACAGGTAACCGTTTTGGATGTGCCGACAGTCAGTACACGAATAAACACTTTTCAACACACGTTTCAGATACGTTTTCATTGTTGAAGATCAGTACAAATGCTAGTGACATGAACTAATTCAATCATACGTAATGATATTGTTTTTGTATATCTTTTGAAATGGATAAACATTTTCAAACAATAAAAACTATTTTAATGAGGATATCTACAGAAAATTCGCGAACTTTTATGACAACTATTCAAGAGTGATCTAAGAAACGATTACATATCAGAATTCAAATAGTTTAACTGGAAATACCTTGCTGTTGTTCGTTGAAAGATAACGTTGCTTCATTTTTATCTTCATTCGTAGAATCCTGTTTAAGATTTTCTTGTTCAACAAGCGTTCCAATTTTATATTCTTCGCCGATCGTCTTAAGCTTCTGGTCAATGTCTTGTACAGCATCAGGAAAAAAATTTTCAATGTCCATATTTTTAGGAGAATTATCATTCGAGTCGTAATTTTCATGTATTACTGCCATGTCTTCCGATGAAATCTCTTTCAGTTGTTCTTTATCAATAGTGACAACTACATCTGACAACAGTTTGATCTCAAACATGCCGGAGAGAATATGTAAAATACCACTCTATATAGAGAAAAAAATGATATTATAGAATGAAAACATTTGTTTACCTTTTTGGTAGCGCGTCGATAATAGGCATCTAGTAGGACACATACAAGACCTGCTGCTATAACAAAACGGTACCAATATTTCGAAAAATCTTCTTCAATCATTTTTCCATGTGCTTTAGACCATAGAACGAAAAGAGCACAAGACAGCAGATGAATCAACCGATCCAGAGCTTCTTCGATGTCGGTGTTCGAAATAGAATTGCTGAACTTGAATGTGCAAAAGTGAAAATAGGCGTACTTCAGAATTGGTTCTATGATCTGTTCGATATCACAAACTTGACCATCTGTTTTAGCAACAATAAACACATGATTCTTGAGTTGTACCAAGTCCATGACTTCTGGTGTCTGTTTGTATAAAAAGTTTGTCACATATTCATCGTAGGATACATTGCATTTCTCGATAACGTAATTACTTTCATGTTGTATCTTTGCAAGTTTTTCTGGTAATTTGACCGTATTTTTTGTCAGTACTTCTAAATTGCCTTGCATTATGTCGGGTAGTAATTTGTGTCGATCAAGTTTGTTAGACACAGACAATTGCAAAGAGAGTATGGACACCACATTATTTATTGATACTTGCAATTCGTGCCAAACTTTTTCATGAGCGGGTTCGAGTGGAAATAAGCAGTTGAGTAGTTGTGCAATGCCATCATTCAAGTGCTTACTCGTCAATAGGGAAAGCATTTTTGTTCCGTGTGTTGAAGCATTATTTTCCCCGTTCGGTGCAACACTTCGTGTCAAGCCATTAAAAATAAGATCATTCAGATTTACTGAGTTGATTGCCATTTCCTGTGTGTATAGAAAAAAAAACTAAAGCGTTTGAGAAAATGCATTAATATCAATGATATATGATTGGAATAATATGAACTGTATGGATAGTACCTGATGAATTTCGAGTCAGAGATCATGTTCTTGTTCGCTTTTATCAAACAGAATTACTGATTAAGTGTTACAGACAAAAATGTTAAATTTCTCTGGTTAGAGAATCGTAACAAAGTTTTTCAATGATACGATGTTGAAAGATTCAATCAGGTTTTGCATTTGCTATGTTCTTTTTGTGAATTCAGTGGCTAAGAAAGTGGACGCATATTCATGTGTATTTACATCACTTAGTTTTAATTTATACAAGCTAGCAGAAACTCAGAATCCACCCAACATACTATAGTAGAGAACTTCAATTACTCGACCTGATATGTTACGCCTTGAATTCAATGGTATTGAATATTATTGGCATTGGTTCAAACAATCGATCTGTAAATCACAGCTGACTAGTTTAGGAAAGATATGAAAGGAGTAGTCAAAATGAGATGTCATCTGATTTAACAAAAAGTAATCTAATAACATATTTCTCATATACGTAGTACGTACGACTGTTCAATGATCGTCAATAACCGTCTACTTGTTCAAGTTATGTTCAATGTATTGGAAGCGATCGCGTCTTGCTTTTTTTTCTATAGAAAAGTAATATTAATATGTTGAAAATAATATGCCGTTGGTAGCATATTTTTATGCAACACAAACTACTCTGTGAATCGGTTCGGAAAAGAATATAATTAACTCTTATTAAATGCATTCTAGAAAGAGAATGAATAAATTATAACTTCCATTCTCTTTCTTCGCTTCAAACTATCGCATGATTTTAAGTTGACAGAAATGAGAAAAAAAATGTAAAGAAATCAATATTCATGACGTTTTCTGTGCTGGCAATATTTGACCTTGAAAAGAAAGCGGTGATTTTCACTGGTCTACACGAGAGTCGATTTTGAGTTGGTCATTTTCAGATTTTGTTAAGTGATACTGAAAATATCAAGTGCACATTTCACAATATTATAGTAAAAACACTATATAGTATGACGTTTTTCTAGGGATGAACAGCTGTATTGCCATCTCTTTCTCCTAATTTAATGTGTTAAAAAAAACGTAATGGTATTCTTGCTTCACAAAGGTGAGGGTGTGGGTGTGAGCCTTTCCGTCAACCATGTCAACATCCCCTATTCGAAGTCCACTCACCTATGGTCAGAATAGGTTTCACACTGGCAGTTTTTAGTCTCTGTAGTGTTACTTCAAATATACAAAGTAACTTCAAACATCAGGTTGTCAAAGATTTGAAGAACATAGTCGTCTTTTTTTTCCTGTTGATGATTCAACCACTATTAGTGGTGTATCCAGAGTTTTTCAGACGATAGACAAGCATTCAGCACAGTTCTCCTATGAATGAACTATTCAAAGTTTTTGTTTAGTGTTGATGAGGCATCTTCTACACGGCAGAGCAGGTACGTTTATTGATGTCTGATCCATAACTATGAATAGTTTGATAGTGATAACTCTATTTTCGTCGCATTTTCTTACATTAACTTTCGATAAACTCACGTGGTGCTATTCTAGTTTAATTTCATTAGCGTGTTTCTCATTTCATGTGCCACATTGGCGTTTTTCAATTGAATCCGATTGTACGTACTATTTCAATGTCTATCATACTATTTTCGGACAATTTTTGTTTCGTAGATTCTAGTGAATCAAAATAGCGATATAACTTTGATAATTTCTCACTCATTTTCATAAGTTTCTCGTTAATCCTTGAGACTTGAAGCTATTGTTTTACGTTGTGTCTTTCACAAGAATGTCAGTAGAAATAAAAACTCGATACATCATGTAGCCAATATTATTGCAACATTGCAGTTGCCCTCATTTTCGGTTCAGATTCTGTAATGCAAAAAAACTATAAAGTGAGTTTTGAAAATGGTTTTAACTTTTGTTTTATATTTGAGCTCGATATGATCAAATTTAATTTCAAAGGTTGAAAACCTTTCGCTTGTAATTTAATAATTTTTTCGTTCTTCATTCACTTGAAAGAAAATCTATGCTTTATTTCAAGAAATGATATAATGCATAGCTTCAAGCTTATTCAGTCTTTTATACTGGATTAGACGAATAGTTAGTTGCCAATAATCATTTCAATTGAGACTGCTTTTTCTTGCATGCACGATAAAATACCATGCAATACATTTATCTAACATATATATTGTTGATGGAGGAATCATGTTCCTTATGACATCAACAATACTCGTTCTCAAAAAACATTTTCCTATGCTGTATTTCTCACAGTTGACATGGGAATTTAGTTGGGTTTCGAATGCATGTTAAAAGAATGAGTCACACGATAATTAATGTTTGTTTACTATTGTATTCAACTTTTACAATTTTAGCGATTCTAAATAATTGGCCGAGCTTCTATGATTTATTTTGCATTATTTTGAAATACTTACATACAGAAAATTTTCATTTTCAACCATTTTTATTTCGTGACTATTAGAATTTTATGAGTTTTATTCATCTCCTTATAATTAATCGATTGATGTTCGTTGCTATGGAGCATCCAATCAAGAAACACATTCTATGCCTGCTTGTTTTTAGTTACATAAAGTATATCTTTTTTTTTCATGTGAATCTCTTACAAAAAATGACTATTCCCAATTCTAAACTACAATCTTACGTTGACAAACTTTCTCACAATAAGTCGATCGAATAGATAATCAACAATCCATTTATAGTTCAATTATTACTCAATCAATCGAAAAATAGATCGACTGCTATTCTAAACAGCATATATCGTTCAGTTTCAAGTTTTGACCAATTTGCTGCCACTAAACATTTAACCAATCATTCGATCCTCCGTATTATGAGCATTAAAAAAACACTATTTTATAAAAACAAATACTTAGGGCATACCAAAAGTACGGGTAGTGACACTTTAATACCGCATAGTGGGCTTAAATAACTTTCTTTCTATATAGTCTGATAGAGAAAAAAAGCTCTATCTTTCTATGCTATTTGATCGTACTTCAACTAATATCATAATATTAAATTATCTATAAAGCCTATTTCGGCTGGTTATGTGGTGGTTGTACAGGGTTGCCAAAAATGTTTTTCCATGGGGCGATCAGAAATCTTTTTTGTCTGTCGAACTTTGAAGAGCTCTCTTTGCTGATCATTTTGGTAAAAAATCTTTTGAGCGTGATCAACAAATAACGACGCTAGGGTCAAAATACTGGAAATTTCAAAATCCTCTGGTTGATATAGCTAAGATATTTTTGAGTATGTTGACCTTAGTACCATTATTTATTGATCAAATTTAAAGACTTTTTTTAGCAAAATGATCAGCAAAGAGAGCTCTACAAAGTCTGATAGACAAAAGAATTTCTGAGAAATTTGTGTTTTTGTGATTCACTACCCACTCACGTGAGTGTCCAACCACTTGAATCTGTCTATAATTCTATAGCCCATTCTCATCTTAAGAATGACGAGTTATACTCCTAAATCCCGTTTTTGACGGGCTTTCATTTGGTATAAAATTGAATGTCGATATCATTTATCGTTGAAGTTGTACCTCATGGAAAAACATTTTTGGCAACCCTGTACAACCAGCACATAACCAACCGAAGTAGGCTTTATAGATAATTTAATATTTTGATACTAGTTGAGGTACGATCAAATAGCATAGAAAGATAGAGCTTTTTTTTCTCTATCAGACTATATAGAAAGAAAGTTATTTAAGCCTACTATACGGTATTAAAGTGTCACTGCCTGTACTTTTGGTATGCCCTAAGTAACTCAAATACTCACGATTTCGTTTCAACCAATCATTCAATGTCCTCATGTCCCGCTGCTCGAAAAGAATCTATCTTATAGAAACAAATAACTGAAATACTCTCGATTTTGTTTCAACCAATCATTCAATGTCCTCATGTCCCGCTGCTCGAAAAAAATCTATTCTATAGAAACAAATAACTGAAATACTCTCGCTTTCGTTTCAACCAATCATTCAATGTCCCCATGTCCGGAGCATCG